ACGCTCTTTCAAATCGAAGCCCGTCACGCGGCGAGCCCGGGGCTGTTCGCCATCGACGGGTCGTCGTTGTTGTTGCTGCCGGACTTGTTGCACTACTGGCTGTCGGGCGTCCGGGCGAACGAACGCACCAACGCCTCGACCACCAGCATGCTGTCGGCGGTGACGGGCGATTGGGATCGCGAACTGCTCGCCACGGTCGGACTGCCGAGTGTGGCGCTAGGGAAGATCGTCGAACCGGGGACGAGGCTGGGGCCAGTGCGGCCGGAGTTGGCGGCGTCGTTGGGACTCTCCAGTGGTGTCCAAGTCGTGGCGCCGGGGACGCATGATACAGCTTCGGCGGTTGCGGCGGTCCCGGCGGCTGGCGAAGAGCCAGGGTCGTGGGCTTACTTGTCGAGCGGCACTTGGTCGCTACTGGGTGTCGAGCTCGATCGACCGATGACTTCGCGCGAGGCGTTTGAGGCGGGATTCACGAACGAACAGGGGGTCGCCGGCAAGACGCGTTTCCTGCGGAACATCGCGGGCTTATGGCTCGTACAGGAGCTGCGACGCGACCTTGAACGACAGGGCAAATCGTACGATTACGCCCAGCTGGCGGACCTCGCCGCCGAGGCTCCGGCGCTGCGGACGATCGTCGATCCAAACGCCGAGGACCTAGCGTCGCCGGGCGACAGCATCGCGAAGCTCCGTGGCCACGCCGAACGGACGGCCCAGCCAATCCCCGACACGCCCGGTCAGTTGGCACGCTGCTGCCTCGACAGCTTGGCGTTGTGCTACGCCGACACGATCGAACGGATCGAGTCGCTCACCGACTACCGCATCGCGACGCTGTACCTCGTCGGCGGCGGCGTCAACAACCGCCTGCTCAACCAACTCGCCGCCGACGCGACCGGCCGCACCGTGAAGCTCGGCCCCAGCGAAGCGACAGCGCTTGGCAACGCGTTGGTGCAAGCAATGGGCCTCGGCTTGGTGAAGGACATCGAAGCGCTACGCGGCGTCGTCGCCCGCTCGCAAAGCGTCGAGGTCGTTAAGCCCAACACCGCATCAGCCGACTGGGCCGCTGCCAAGTCGTGCTACAGAGAACAAACCAACTCGCCCCGCTAAGAATGGGACGCGGATTTTCGCGGATTGAAAGGATTGCCGCGGATCAAGAAGCTAGGCCATCCACCTATATCCCCTCAATCCGCGTTTATCCGTGTCCCATNNGCGGATTTTCGCGGATTGAAAGGATTAAATGGATTTGCTTTTGTAATCCGCGAAGATCTTTTTAAATCCGTGTTCATTCGCGTTCCATTCTTCAGAACAAGAAAAAAACTGTGCCAACCGCCTACGAGTTTGCTTGCGAGCGTTACGCCGAGCATGGCGTCGATGTCGACGCCGCTGTTGCGGCGATGGACGCCTATCCCGTGTCGATCCACTGTTGGCAAGGGGACGACGTTG